AACTGAGGAAAACACAGAGCTGTAGAGACATCCTCAGATGCCTGCATCCACATAATGAAAAGCACTCCGGCTTCCCTTCCTTTGCCGCTCATCTCCATTTCTATTTCTGTGTTATTATTATTCAGAGCAGCTGTTCCGATGAATCTATGACGGATAATGACAATTCCAGGCTCACAGACTCACAGACGGTTAGCCAAGGAGGAAAGGGAGGGCTTGGGGGATCTTATTTACTGGATCTGTTAGGGGAAAAAAAAATTATAGACTCCCTTCAGAAGAGGCCAGAAAACTCACTCAGAGAAGTGTTGAGTATGGGAGTTTTAAAAAATCAAATATTTGAACTGAGTTAGTACAGTGCTTCCCTAGCATACCCGAAGTCCTGGGTTCCATCTCCAGGACATGAACAGACCTGAAATCCCAGCTCTCGGGAGTTGGAGGAAGGAGGATCCGGAAGTTTAAGGCCTTCCTCGGCTTCACAGTGAGTTCCAAGCCAGCCTGTGACACAAGGCACTCACTGTCTTACAAAAGCAGGAGACTAGAGCAGTAGCAGAGGACCCGGGTTTGGTCCCCACCACTTACGTTGGCTGGGTCCAGGTCCAGCTGTTACGATGCCCTCTTCCAACCTCTTTGGGCAACTGAACCCATGTGCCCACACCCACACAACGACACACATGCGTATACATAACAATAGTTTTTAAATAAAGCATAAAATCAAGCATTTATTGCCTGCTTTTTTTTAAACCTATAAGTCAAGACAAGCAATAGTTATGAGGAAAATTTGTTGTTATTTAATTACAGTAATGAATCCATAAAGAAGACACCCTCCAAATCCTATCTGTGACTAGGACAAGCCCACATCATCAATAATAACAGACATCCTGTCTTGGTGTCTACCTTTCCAGAAACATCCAAGTAGCATGTTGGGAGGCCTTGCTACCTGGTCAGAGGTTCAGTCTATCATGGCTTGGCAGCTTTTTCCAAAGCTCAATGGCATGGGGACTCCTCCCACCCACACCCACCTCCTCCACCCCACCCCCGCCCCGTGCCTCCTGAGGAACTTCCTGCTCTCTACCTGCCCTTATCTGGAGAATGTCCCCGGGCCTGGAGGACTGGCCTTATCTGAAAGCTGTCTCTAAGCCTGGATGCCTGCTTTATCTCTTGTGTGACCCTTGGCACAGTCTCCTGCTGGAAGCCTCCCCTGCTGCACATATGGTAACTGAGACTTGTGTTGGGAGCTTTGCTGTAGGACCCTGCGCCACATACGAAGCCTGATGATAGGAGCATGCCAGTTAATGCAAGTTAGGGTTTGTCTCGGGCTCCCCAGTCCTATACATTCCCTATATTCTGGAACAAAGTTGAGCAGATTCACCGGTCATCTCCCGGAGAGCTTCCTCTGTTGTACCGACAGCCCTCCGAACCCTGTTCCCCACTTCAGCTCCCTCTACCTTTAAGGACCAATGCACCAGTGATCCCAAGGAAGAAGCAGAATCACAGTGGGATCAGAGGCCTGTGAACATCCAGAGGAAAAGTGGAAGAGATGCGAGACAGTCGGTCAGTTTTCTCATTTCCACAGTGATGAACAAAAAACCCAAAGTTCTCACATCCAAAAGTATTTCTATTTCCAAAATCATGAAGGCTCAGATCTAAATCCCAGATCCTAGAGCCTCAGAAGATAGAAGTTTTTTGTTTTGTTTCTGAAAAGGAGCAAGCAGTAGTGATTTTAGCTTGTGGTTATAGGAGTTCAGCACCCATAACTGATACATAAATAAGCATGGCTGGTTATATTCAAATAAAACTTTACAAAAGCAAATGAAGGACCATAGTTTGCCAACTCTTGTTCTGGACAAACACATTGTGTGACTCTGAAAGAATTACCAGGATAAGAACTGGAGGGGCAGAACTATGTGTTCCAGGGTGTCAAGGAAGACTTTTTTTTTTTTTAAACCCCAGGATGAGATGGTTTCTGAGGACCTTCTCATCTCTGATGAACTGGGACTCTGGGACCATCCATCATGTAGTAGTTGTGGTATGTCCTGTAGGGGGGCTAAATCCCACAACACTGTGGATAGAGACTGAGTGAGCATGCTCAGCAACTTGGTTTCGTTCATGGTTTCTCCTTCACAGCCTGAGTCATTACCATTCTCAGTGCAGTGATGGAAGCCAAATGAACACTCTGTACTACCCAGAGACCCACAGGGACAGCTACACCCAGTCACCCATGGGCAAGCCTACTTTTTTTTTTTCGAGACAGGGTTTCTCTGTGTAGTTTTGGAGCCTGTCCTAGATCTCACTCTGTAAACCACTCTAGCCTCGAACTCACAGAGATGCGCCTCCCTCTGCCTCCCGAGGGCTGGGATTAAAGGTGTGCGCCACCACCACCCGGCAAGCCTACATTCTTATAGAAAGCCACCAGCATGTCAGAACCGCAGACCAAAACTTCTGCAGAGTCATACAGACTTGAAGACATGGGACATGCCACGCAGGTATACACAAAGGGGATGACATACACACACCTTACAGCCTATATTCCCAAACCCAAAGGTTCTGAAATCAAAGGTCATGATCTTCAACTAAGTCTGACTATTTAGCCCTAGATCATCATTACTTCCTCCACTTCTATTCCTGATTAAGGTCCAGGGCATGAGAGGTAAGGAGACAATGTTTCCTTTCATCCTGACTGCTATAACAAAACACCACAGACTGCAAGACTTATAAATAACCAATGTTCATGTTCTGGAGGCTGAAGTGTGAGATGGAGATATGACAGATCTGTTGTCTGCCGAGGGCCCAATTGCATCATAAATGGCTTCTTTGTGTTGCTTCCTCCCCCCCTGCTCCCCAAGACAAGGTCTCTGTAGAAAGGCTACAGACCAGTGTAGCCCTGGCCGTCCTGGAACTCACTCTATAGACCAGGCTGGCCTCGAACTTAGAGATCCAGGAGTGCTGGGATCAAAGGTGTGCACTACCGCTGCTCAGTTTGCATTGCTGCTTTTTTAAGGGAGGGGTGGGGCAGGGCCTGTGGGACACCTTCTCAGGTAAAAGCACTTGCCACCGCCACGCCTATTGAGTTGAGGTATATCATCAAGACCCACTTGGTGAAAAGAGATAACTGTCTTCCACTTATTGTTCTCTGACCTTTACATGTGCACACACACACACACAGACACACACACACATAAAAGGGGACTTTAAAAATTTTAAGCCAACCAATGGGACTCAAGAGATGGCTCCACGGTTGAGAGCACTTGTTGCTCTTGCAGACAGCAGACTGGAACCTGGGCTCCAGCACCCACACCTGGTGACTCACAACTGCCTGTTACTCCAGCTCCAGGGTTCTGATGCCCTCTACTGGCCTCCACATGCACCTGCACACAGATATGCAGACACACACAGAGAGACACACG